CCACGGCAACCACATACCTTTAGGGGCACTGTGTGCTCAATTGTCACCCTTATTCTATATAAAAAAATCTTTTTAAAGAAGAAAATAAATCGACATAAGTATCCTTTTAATTCGATAGGTTATTGAAACTTGCGAGTCGAGGGATTGCCTAACGAGCTAATATTCCACAGATGCATTTAGCCGTAGCAGCCGATGGACATTTGCAAGCCACTTTAAACGAAAAAGGTGACAGGTGGACAAGGAATTCCCCTCAGACTGTTATTACACTGGCTCTCAATACTCTTTTAACCGAAACAGACCACAAACAAGCACATACAGCGTGCTGAACACTTTGGGGCAGAACTTCTAAACTATTTCATAAATCAAAAGAGGCCTGTACCCAACATTCAGAGGTTTGAAAGCTGTTACTTTACTTTTATTTCCTACTTGACAGTAAGAACTTAATTAAAAAGTCAAGTCTGATAAAAAAAATTCGTTGATGTAGTAAGAGGTGACTTAGGGACGTGCCTAGAAGGCAAAGGTATACCACAATACAGCCCAAGAAAATAAAGACACAATTTATTTTGACAATTCATATTATCGAGCCGCAGCGACGCGTTTATGGTATCAAATCGTGTAATGACCTTGCATTATATGGCATGTTGAAAATAGTGGGGCGCGGCCAAGATAAGCTTTCTGCTCGGTCTAATATTAGAACGTTCTTTTCTTTTCATTCATTTCTGTACTGCCAACACTTAGTAAAATTTTTGAAAAAATTATTCTTGATCAATTGTTAATTTTTTTTTAATGTAAATAAATTACTTCATAAAAATCAATTTGGTTTCACAAGGGGTCGCTCGACAACTGATGCTGGTGTTGAGCTGATTAAATATATATTTAATGCATGGGAGAATTCACAGGATGCTTTGGGTGTGTTCTGTGACCTATCCAAAGCCTTCGATTGTGTTCACCATGAAACATTAATCAGGAAACTTCAACACTACGGTGTAAGAAATGATGCTCTTAAATTAATTATTTCATATTTAAGTGACAGAACACAAAAAGTTGTTATTAATAGTATGAGTTCTTCCGGGTCGATTGTACAAATGGGCGTGCCTCAGGGCTTAATTCTCGGCCCCTTTCTGTTTCTTGTATATATTAATGACTTACCTTACATAGTAGGGGATAACCATGATATAGTATTATTTGCTGATGATACTTCATTAATTTTCAAATTAAAACGACAGTTATTAAATTACGCCGAAGTAAATAATGCTATAGCTAAGTTAGTCAATTGGTTTAATGTTAATAAATTGCATTTGAATGGAACTAAAACTAAATGTATGAAATTCGTAACTCCTAATGTTAAACATGTCAATACCAATATAATTTTAAATGGGGAGGAACTGAGTCTTGTTGATACCACCATTTTTCTTGGTATCACACTGGACGCAAAGCTTCAATGGCTCCCCCATACATCAAAACTAGCTAGCAGACTTAGTTCTGCAGCATATGCTGTAAAAAAGATTAGAACTCTTACCAGTGTTGAAACAGCTAGAATAGTTTACTTTAGTTATTTCCATAGCATTATATCGTATGGTATTTTGCTATGGAGACACGCGACTGACACTGAAATTATATTTATTTTACAGAAGAGGGCCATTAGAGCAATATATAATTTAAAATCAAAAGAGTCACTGAGACAAAAATTTAAGGAAATTAATATATTAACTCTGGCCTCTCAATACATTTATGAAAATGTAATGTACGTACACGAAAATAAAAGTAGTTTTGCGAAAATAAGTGATATTCATTCTGTAAATACTAGGAGCAGACACAAGCTGGTAGTACCAGTTACTCGACTCCACCGAGTCAGTTATTCATTCTTGGGGCGATGTATACGCTTTTACAACAAAATCCCAGAAAATATACAAGATTTGTCATACACAAAGTTCAAAAATGTTATTAAACTAAGTTTGTATAAAAAGGGTTATTATAATATTAAGGAATTTATAGATGATAATAACCCCTGGGAAGGGTGATCGCTACCAAGCTATTTCTAATTTGTCTTGTGTTGTTGATTGTAAACATGATTGTAAGCTATTATTAAAAAAAATAGTCCCGCTGGGTTTCTTGCTGGTTATTCCCAGGACAGAGGTTTTTTTTTGCGAACCAGTGGTAAATTAAAAAAGTGACTTTCAATAAGTATTTTTATAATCTACATTGAATAAAAAAGTTTCTATTTCTATTTCTATTTCTATTTAATAGTCATTGACTTATATATTACTAGCTTAAGGACCGGGCCGACAGAACAATTAAAACGGACCAGTGCGCTGGCACTAAAATTACGCTAGTTTAGGGCCAACGCGAATCGGTCGACAATGGTGCGCGCGCAGGACAGATTTGTCTGTCATAAATATGTCAAGCTGCGTGGTAAAGAATGCAAAAATCACGATACGAAGATTAAAAAGGAATATAGGATATCGTATCATCAGTTAATAACCCTGTATTAATTTTGTTACAATTAAATTATTATATGAACGCATTTTTAGTTTTATTTTACAGTTAGTTTAGTTACGTTACCAATATTAGGCCAGGGTTGGATTCAGACCCTCAAAAATAGTGTACATGAAAAATAAAATTATACTATTTAAAAAAAATTATATCACGTTTTGTGTTTCATGTTTCTTTTTTCCCATGTGGCGGGATTTTGGCGTCACGCGTCTAGTTTATCTATACAATTCGTTTTTTGATAGTTTTATTTTTATTTCTTTTTAATTTTTGTATAAAGAACTTAGAGTAAGTTAAATTTTGAATATTGGTTCCTAATATATTTTATATTCAATAGTAACGAAAAGAGTATAAAAGAAACCATATCTGCTTAATTGAATCTGAAAATCTGATTCATAAAATATTTTGAAGATCTGATTTCAAATCGATTGCTTCTGGAGCATAGAGTTTTTATCGTGGTAGCTCCTCATTATAGTTGTATCAAGGATGCAACATAAATGCATCGATTGAGCACCGATTGACCAGAAAGGGAGCTAACTTTAATTTTATTTAAAAAATGCGGTACTCACGTACAATACAGAAATTCTCAATATCGTACGGTTAATATTAAAAAGTAAAAGGACCCAATAATAATACAAGTCGATATTTAGGTAAAATAATGGTATTTACGCTTAGTATTATTACGATAGTATTAACTACAAACTATGAAATAATGATACAGTTAGGATAATTATACTACGAAATCCGACCCTGGTTACGTGGTGTTTTGATATGACGTTTGTATTAAGACAGATGTGCTACTTTTTCTTGTATTAAAAAGTTATGAGTAAAATATTTAGATGGGCCTATCCTTCCTATTGAAATCATTGTTAATAGTATTTTTATGGGTCATGGATATCATTGTTGTGAGAACTGACCCTTCAGTAAGTTTATGGCTGAATTGTGAAGCTTTTCTGCAGGCGAGTATTTTAGCGCTTATTTAATATATTCCACAACTATCACACAACGCCATCTAGTCCCAAGCTAAGCAGAGCTTGTGTTATGGGTACTAGGCAACTGATAAACATACTTATATATTTCTAAATACATAAATATTATAGATAAATTACATCCAGACACAGAACAAATGATCGTGCTCATCACACAAACATTTGTCCTGGGTGGGAATCGAACCCACGACCTCCGGCATAGCAGTCAGGGTCAATAACCACTAGACCAACATGCCTGTCAATGTATTTATGTAGTTACACTACATATTATGTAAACTTAGAAAGGTATAAATTTTTCGGACGGACGGATGGATCGGACGGTTATCACCGTAGCTTGTAGATAAAAAATAGATTAATTATTACAAACTAATTTTATATATTTTGTCACTATAAACATGGAATTTTCACTTTAATATAAAAAAGTAAGAAAAAAAGGCACTGACCAAACATATTTCCTTGTCGATTTAATAGATACAATAGATAAGTTTCCTCCGATAAGAGTAATTGTGTTCTGTGTAAGTTTCACTTTTGGAACTGGTGGTAGATTTTGACGTTCATAAGAACTTCAAATTAGCCGTCACTGAATGAAACATTTGTGAATTTAACTTTGACAACATTTTTTTAAAATGACTCGACAGTAGTAAGGAGGTTGGCGGCATTTTCACCCCCGTTCCTCGGAAAGCACGTAAAGCCGTTGGTCCTGCGCCTGATCACTTTCCAGTCGTGTCGGTTAACCGTCCCATCGGATTTTGAGAGTGAGGTAATCGAGAGTGCATCTGTGCTTGCGCATACACTTTGGCATTATAGTCCTGTCTTGCGCAGATGGCTAGTCTCTATTTAAACTGGCCACCGTTGCCCAGATTCGGTCTGGAGGACGTTATTATTCATAGTATATATAAGTATATAGTCGAGTCATACTCATACGTGGTAGGGCCTTGCTGCAGCTATATATTTCTAGCACAAATATGTGGGCTGAACTAGGGAAGGACCACTCCCTAACGGAATATTTGCATTAATCCTTGTAATAAGTATTCCGTTAGGGCTTCGCATGTTGAATGTAGAGAATCAGAAACCCTTTTTACAGGAAACGAGTAGTTCCATCTTAGTACTCAACGGTGACGATTTAGCAAGTGTCGTTGTGTGCGTGCTGTGGGCCTGTGCTTACGGGGCCATACTGTCACGTGTCCGGCACCCGCGGCCTTCGGTGCGTTTGGTAGAAGATAGCCTACTATTCTGTTTTTACTATGGTAAAGATCTAGATTTTAGTTGCACAAACATAAACACAACATGATTGTAACTTGTAAACCTTCCTGAAGACATCATCTGTATGTGAGAGTAAACCGCACCAAAATCCATCAAGTATCTAGTTTTAAAACCTTATCCGAATCCGAAAATACAGAAATATTTAAAATTAGCGTGGACGTCGCCGCCCGACTTGTGACATTCAATTTGAATACAGAGACGTGAGAATCAATAAACTATACCAAAAAAAATTAAGGAAAATTTGTTTTCTTTTTGCAGGCGCGTCCCTTGTCTACATATTGTTGGTGCTACCAGGTCTACTACCATGGAGTGGAGGCGGAGGTGCTGCATGGTTCCTCTCCTTGTGTCATCTACTTGGTGCTCTGGCGCCGTGGTGCGGTTCTTTTCTGTACCATCTTTTCATGAACCATACAAGTGGTGCTGGTTTATACCATCGGCTACTGCAGTTGGATATGCTGGGAATTTGGGTCAGCCAAAGCATAGGTAAGTGGCGCAATTTGTATATCTATATCATTAAATCTAATATCCTCAGGACACTTCTATTCGGTATCAGCGCTCATTACGTTTAATATGTTTAAATTTATAATTCATACATACAAATTCGAAAGGTAAGATAATATTAATAGGATTTTACAAAAATTCTAAGTAACTTTGAAACATAATTAAACCGACTAATAAGATCTCATCTAATTAGTCGTTTTAATTATGCCTTATACCTTTTAAGACTACATATTAAAAATTATCAATACATTTTTAGGCTACTAAAATGTAAATAACATGATTATTTATAATTATTAAATGAACATTAAAATACTTTATAAATTACCGCCAGATATTGTAAACGAACAAAATTTTAACAATTTAATAAAAGTTGAAATATCTTTTTTCGCCAAAAATATTTCCATTCTGTGGTATAACGTTTAGAAATTTGTTAACCAGATCATGTTTTATACAATTTTAACATATTGACATTATTTTTTTTAATGAAAATTTATTTATTGGTTGGTTCTGTATTTTAATCAAGGGATATTTTAGAAGCCCATTTATCTACCAGGTTGATCAATTAGTTACTGGAAACGCAATGAAACTCTAGGATAAATATAATTATGTAAAGTGTATATATTTTTCAACGTAATCGCATTATAAGTTAATACACCTCGAATAGCGTTTTGAAATTTGGTTAATTCCCTTGGAAAAAAAAAGGCTTGATCCTGGGACTCGAAAAACGACTCCAGAGTACACATCACCTCATCGCTCTGTATCTATCCGTCAAGTTTCATTACAATAGGTTCAGCTATTAGATTTATCCCGGACGGACAGAACAAAAACAAAACTAAACTAAAGACAAATTTTTTTTTTAAATTCGTCTTAATGTCTGGCCTTAATTTCTTAACGTCTTAATGGCTGGCAAATAACCAGACAGTTGAATCATCATCATCATCATCATTACAGCCCTTCACAAGTCCACTACTGAGTATAGGGCTCCCCCAAGGAATACCACAAAGCACGGTCCTGAGTCACCTGCATCCATCGAATTCCTGCATGTCTTACCAGGTTGTCACTCCATCTAGTGGGGGGTCGCCATACACTAACCCTACCGGTACGAAGTAGCCACTCGAGAACCTTTTTTTCTCATCGGTTGTCGGATTAAAGAAAATATAAATAATAAATGTAACAGCTCAATAAAAGGTACTCATTTCGATATTACGGATAGACACTTCAATTTCTTTAAATTATTTAAAAACACAGAGTTATTACATATTATGAATATTATTTAAGTGGTAACTTAATCGTGCATTATGAAAACCATTTGAATTTAAATTTATTTCGCCATGTTGAAATATCAAGGGAGTGTTTCCGGTTTTCATTTATTGAATTGCTAATGAATTAATGTAATTTAACAATGGAACTCTATCCTTTGTTATTCCAAATTTAGTAGCTAATATTTTTTGATATCCAATTTCCACTTAGTCGCTCGCTAATCAGAATAATTGCATTTCTTTATTATTGTATTGAAAAAAATTAAAACCGTGTACTTAACAGTAGGAACATTTGTATCGTGAAGCCATTTAACAAAGATAAATTTTGCATGGACAAGTACCCATTCCGTAATAACTATTTTAAACCGTAGATATTCATGGCCATATATGTATAATAGATAAGTCGCATTATTTTTGCACCAATTTGTATATAAATGAAAGAATAACTCGTTTTAAATTATATTTTTTTATAAACAATTCCATTTTTTTAGTACTTATTAATTAAGGATACTAAAATTTTTGAATGAAAAAAAAACATGTGATTGGTTGTGACGTCATTATATCCGTTGATGCTGTGAACCAATCGCAATCATCTATACTTATGTATTTTCTATTTTCGGATCAACATGTGTCATACAATCATATGTACTTTTGTATTTTCTATTTTTGGATCAGCATGTGTTATAACAAAATATATATAACCAGTATTTCGGAATGATTTTTTTTTAATTTTGACAACGTAAACATGAGTGTTTTATCATTTCACCATGCGGTGGCGTAACTAGCGATATAATGGCGTTTTAATTTACCTTAGAGTATTTACCTTACTTACCTTAGAGTAATTATTAAAAATATACATACGTATCCAGAATTTACAATTTAGAAAAACCATTTTTAATTGTAAAATTTGATGAAAGATCAATTGTGGTTTTTTTTTTAAATTTTCTTAATAATTTTTAGTAAACTTTCAAAAATATATTAAACAAAACATGCAACTTCTCTTTTATACAATATACTATATATATTTTACCGTGTGCGTACCGTATCGTGGCGGTGTAAAAGGTATCACCTCCCCATATCTTCCCGTAAGTTTCGTAGGCGGCGACAAAACTGAATCAGGATATGGGCAGCCTTTCAGCATTTTCTTATATGTTATAACATATAAGGAAATAACCTAAATCGACATTTTAAAAATCCTCAAAACAAAAAAAGCTGATTAAAAAAGCTGGTCTTGAAACGGCTGAACCGAGTTTGATAAAACATGTCTAAGAAGCACTGCTAAAAAATCTGCTTTTAAATAAAAAAAAACCGTACCCAAATCGGTACACCCGTATAAGAGCTACGGTGCCACGGAGATATAGATAGACCCACATAGCAGTCAAACTTGTAACACCCCTTTTTTCGTCGGGGCTTAATCATCCATAATATATAAAAAAATAGGGAGAGGACAATGTCCAGCCGTAAACACGTCCTTACCAACAAGTTTCTTCCTGACGAACAGTTCGGTTTCAGACCCGAATATTCGTGCACTAACCAAATCCACCGCTTTATAGAATACATCCTAGCTTAGCTAGACTTCTCCCACTCAAGGAGTAACGGTAGAATCCGTAACACCGGTGCCCTCTTCATCGATTTTGCCAAAGCGTTTGGCAAGGTCTGGCACGATGGCTTGCTCTACAAACTGTACAAACTCAACGTGCCCGACAGGCTCACTCACATCACCAGAGCACGCCATTTCAGATTTCGGATAGAGGGAACTCGCTTCACCAAGCACCCCCTCAGGGCTGGAGTCTTTCAGGGCTCCATTCTCTCCCCACTCCTCTTCACACTCTACACGAGTGACATCCTGAAGGACCCAGTAGTCAACACCACTAACTTCGCCGATGTCACGGTACTTAACGTTTCACACTTCAGCACGCCATTTCTTACAAAGATGCTCCAAAGAACCGCCAATAGCTTAGGCGAATGGTTTCACTTATGGAGAATCGAAATAAACTCTGAAAAAAGTACCTATAGCAATATACTTTCAAAAGAGACCCTCTCCCAATTGTCGGAACCTAAATCCAAAAAATTCACTAAGCACGATCACTCTATTCGGCCGTCAGATCCCGTGCCAATCAACCACCAAATATCTAGGGGTCACATTCGACTCATCCATGATCTTCGCGAAACACATTGGCGCCGTCCGCAATCGTGCCAAATTCGTTACTAGTCGACTCCACCCGCTAGTTAACAGTAAGAGCGAACTGTCCCTAAGACACACTCCACCTCTACAAAGCTTGCGTAAGACCTATCATGTCCTACGCCTACGCAAGCGTAGCTAGCATTCGCACACGTAGCTCATAAACGTTTGAACGACCTACAAGTCGTCCAAAATAGATTCATTCGCATCGCCACCGGAGCTCGGTGGTACCAGCGAAACTCGGATTTACACAGAGATTGTCAACTTCCGACGATCTCTGAATATTTCAAGGAAATGTCTCGGCTCTACTTTGAGAGCACTGAGGCACATCCCAACTCGCTATTTTTAAACGCAACAACCTACGCTCCAACTCAAAACGTTAAGCAAAGCCTCCGAAGACCTCGCAACGTTTTAATTGAACCCGTAGTTCCGCTAGATTCCGACGACATAAACGTCGCCGGCCCGTCACACATAGACACTACATACTCACCTAGTGCCAAACACTGATAGGTCAACGGACGGGACACAGCGAGTCCGCAGACGGGCTTACTGCGTACCCCTCTATACCGCGTACACACCGTACACCCGGGTCCCTGTGCTGTTCTCACCGCCCAGACGAGTTAGCCGTCAGAGCCGGGGCTCGCCACCTCCCTGTTCGTACGGTCGTTAGATAACTTTTCCACGTGCACGTGCATGCGGAATGTATGTATTCACTTTCACAAGAGCCAAGTGACCTCGAATGATGCACGCACACATTTACATAATCAAGTGAACGCCATCTAACGACAGTGAGGTTAAACTAACGGATTAGCGAGGTTACGCCCGAGTGTTTTAATAGATAAAATAACAAGTAAGATCTAATAAAAAAAAAGATGAGACAGTGAAATTATTTTGAGTGTTACTTTTTTGTTATTTGATTTGAGTGTTACTTGAAAATTATATATACCGATCACGTGGTAAAGCAGCACTCAAAATTGCAACTTACAATTTTATCGATGCCGGCGGCGATCGAACCCAGGTTGCTCGTGTACTGTAAAATTACAGCGAGCACTTAGCCCCTGAGCTAACGCGGCTTATTACATAAAAGCTAATCAACAAAACACTCTAAATGAATGTATAACCTTATGAAAAATAAATTCGGTCACGTGGAAATGGATTACAAGGTAGCAGAAATATATCTCGTTTAAATCTCATTTTCGTAAATTGACGCGACCTTCATTTTATTTATGTTCGTAAGCGAAGTGAGAAACGGTTCAGCTTATGGAGAAATGTACTATATTTAGTCTAAAACGTGTAAATGTTTAATGACTGTTTTATATAACATTGAATTATACTATAATAAAAAAACTATGCTCTCCATGGTATAGTGCCAAGATCGCTGCTACGTGGACGTGCTATATACTTAGTCTTTGAGCGAGATAAGAACCAGCCCTCTTATCACCAGCAGCAACGACCAGTCACGGATAGAGATCCTTTAGGATTTTTTTTATTTACCCACATTTTTATTTTATATTTAATGTTGGTTTGTCAATATTCTTACA